CTAAAATTAATATTCAAAATTTTATTAAAAAATTTAAATATTAAAAAAATTAGTAAAAATCTTCACAGGCAAATTTGTCTGTGCTATAATTTAAGAGATAATAATTTTACTATAAAATTATTTTAAGATTATTTTATAATTGGTTTAAAATAATCACAACTCTTTCTAACGATTACTTGGACCAAAATTTTCTATCAAAAAAAATTTTAATTTCTGTTGGAGAGTTGTGGCCTAATATAGTGGTTTGCCTAGAGGTTAACAGTTCTCTTCTACTGGGACTCCTCTATTAGATTTGTATTCAGCATACAAACTAGGAGTGTTCGTATACAGGAGGTGTGTGCTTTTGTATACAAAATCTTGGAGGTAAAGCAAAAGCCTTTACTGTCAATGAAGTTATTTAGGCTATTACTTCTAGTAAGAAGAATACAGGGGAAACAACAGGATTTTTTTTTTCTTTAAGCCACACTATTTACTTGACCAAGTGGTTTCCTTTCTACCTTTATTCGCTCTCCCATCAGTTTTTCAAAATTTTCTAAAAAAGTAAGAATTTGGCTTACCCCCCTTCAAAAGATCGGCATTGTTTATACTTACTGAATTCAGATAGACTCAGTGAATTGCAACCACATGTTTGTTTTGATGATTAATATGGTACTATAATACAAGAAAGAGATCAATACCCTTGTTTAGAAGATACCCAAGTTAAGTCGGTGCTCAGAATAATTTGAATCAATAAAGTTGAAAGTTTTACAATTGAAATATACTTTTCGTTGTAATTAGTATATAATTTTTATCTTTATACCTAGCATAGGCTATAATAGTATATCAAGGCTACCTTTTCTTTTTTTGCTTTTTTCATCTTTGTTCATTTATATTAGATTATTTTAGAATTTGTTTTCTTGCTTGTATTTTTTTTATTGCTATGAGGTGTTTTTTTTTTTAAAATGTTTAGATCTTTCATAAACATAGCTTTATTTTTTTACTTTTATATATAAATAAGGGTTTTAATTATTTTGTTGGGCTTAGGTAAAAGAAGTTTGAAAAAAGGAAAGGTAGTCTTGACAAGCCAGTAGGATCCATCCAGTGATATCATATTTCTTTCGTTTCAGGAAGAGATATTTTAGAGGTAAATTTTGCTTATAGCAGGTCGCATATAGGTGTCCAAGAGATAACCGGGTGAGCCAGTACTTGTAAAGTAGGTATCAAAAGGGTTAGCCTTTTGTAAAAAGTATATAAATTTATATTATATAATGTAAAAAATTATAATAGCCTAATAAAGTATATAGCAAGACTGCTAAAATAGTAAAAAAAAAAAATTGGTTTATAATAATTAGAATAATGTATTTTTAGTAAAACTCTTTTCAACAATCACTTGGATCACATTTTCTAAAAAACTATTTACTAGAAAAAAAATATAATACACTAGTGCTTGGTTATAAACTTTAATGTAAGATATAAGAAAAGGAACTATAAATTAGCAGCTATTATTTAAAAATAGTTCTTATACACTATCTGCTAATAGCTTTAGAGTTTATTACTCACTGCAGGCATGGTACTTGTTGTTTAGAAGTAGTTCTTATATACTACTTGCTAATAAGTTTAGAGTTTATCACTTACTGGAAAAACTTAGTACTGTGCAGGCTTGGGTGTACTGTTGATTCTAAAACTCATACTCTTTTAGTGGTTTCAAGTGGTTTTTCTCTATTTCATATGTGGCCGATTTTACTAAAATTTTTAATAAAAAGTAAGCAATTTAGCTTACCTCCTCCAAAAGATTGATATTGTTTATACTTTTCATTTTTGAATAGATGAAGTAGGACATAAAGATAAGATTGTTTTAGCAATAATGTTCTTATTTCCAAATTGATATCTTAGAATAGGTGCTCTTCTTGTTTTTAGTTTTTATATTTAGATATCTTATTTTTTAATACTTTCTTAATTTGTATCTTAAGCCACAAGCTGCTACTGTTTAAAGACTTGTATTTTAAACCATGTACTACTACTATTAGAGTTTTACTTTTGTACTTCTAGATATTCATGTTATATATCACTATATTAGGCTACTATTTTGTTTATAGTACTACCATCACTCATAGTATTACAGAAGTCTAGATTTGTAGAATAGAAGTTAAGAACTTTATTTAATTGCTGCTATAATTTAGTAATCTGAAACCTTGTACTTCTGTTATGCTTTGTTATAAAACTTCTATGCTAGTTGTATAACTATTATTCACTAGCCAAATTTATTTTTGCATACCACCAAGATATTTGCTTATATTTTTCAAAACTTTCCTTAACTAGTTTTTTTTTGTTTCTTTATATTAAAAATGGTTTATATTTGGTAAAATCATTCTTTTACCACAGCTTCTTACAATATTAACTGCTTCTTTTACTGCTTCTAATTATACTACTTCAAGTCATCCTTCCAATCAAGTCCTTTAATAGATATTGGTATTACTTAAGAGCCACCTTTTGAGATTTATATGCATAGCCTTTTTGCAATATTACCTTCTGTGACCCATGTTATACACAGTGCCTATCTTCTCCAAGGCTTGAAACTCCTTCCAAGAATTCTTTATTGGCCAAATATATACTTTATATGGTCTTACCACCACAAGGCTTCATATTCAAAAAGCTTCCTTAAATTACAAAAACAATTAATTAAATTAATTACCCCCAGCTAAATTCAAACCATTGACCTTGTCTGTGGAGGGTTGGGTGCCTAGACCACTAGATTATGGAACCCCAACCCATAAATTTTTTATTTAAGTTCTTAATATTTAATTAAATCATAAACTTTATATGTTAAAAATATAAAAACTATACTGTATGGATTTTAAAATAAAAAAACTAGATTATTTAAAATTTGTAAGATCAAGAAATTGGTTTTTTACAACTTTATTACTATATATTTGGAAAAAATATGGTTACAAATATTTAAGCAGCTCTGCTAAATAGTAACAATAATCTCTCGATCACTATATCCAGTTCATTTGTATTGGGATATTATAAATTTGAAATCATTAGATTTATATAGCTTTGTAGATTAATTTTTAGGTTATCGGTTTTGACAGGATCGGTTTGAGAGGTTCAACAGTATAATTAGGCGTATTTACGCATTCTTTTGGTTTAAATAAACGGGAAAAAAACGTCATACGGTAATTTTAAATAAATATTATATATCGCTATATAACAAATCCCCAAAATATCAATTACACATATGGTATTTTGTTGACGATACCTTTTTTTTTAGATTAATTATTTAATTATTAAAAAATGGTAACAAATTCTATTGTACAGATTATTACTACGTGCCATAATTAATTTAAATAGTAAAAGAAAAAAAAAAAAACCACCATAATACACGTATGTATTTGGTTTATAAGATGAATTATAAAATTTGGATGATAACCAATTTTTAAGACCTTTGTCTATATACAGAAGCATCACACAATAGATTGGTAAATTACTATACAATAAAGGAAGCTTCTTGAAAAGTTGAATAGAATTATACATCAAATTTTGAAAATCTATAAATAAATGTGAAATCTATTCGATCTTGATACTAACAGCATTAAAATTATTAAAAAGTATTTATTTGTATGTACCGAGAATTCTTATTCATCTTTCAACGGAATTTTTACAACACTCCAGTCTCTTACTTTTTCAAATACCCAGAAGTTCAAACTACCCAGTGGAACAATAACCCACATCCTAGCAGACATTCCAACAAATAAACCTTTTACACCTTCTGTCTTTACAATACTTGCAGCCATGTTCCACCATCTTAGCTCCTTTTGTCCCGCCTCACGGGCGATCTGTATTTTTGTTTTTACAACATCGAAAGGTGCAGAAGTGAAAGTTGCAATAGCCCCAGCCATAACACCAGCTGACACAGAAAGAAAGAAATGAGAAGAAGGTAAGAAAGGAAAACGATGTTGATTTTTTTGTAATGTTTCCAAAGTATAAGTATAAGTGAAAAAATAGGCAGGAAAAAAAGAAATTGTGTTGAGTAGACCAGCAGCCCAACCACGGTAAAGAAAATGGTGAAGAGGAACATCTTTAGGTTTTAGACGTGTGATAAAATTGTTTCTTAACGAGACCGAATGTAAATGTGGGTCATTGATATTAGGTGTTAAAGGTGTATTATGAGGTGTAACAATATAAGTTGGTTGATTAGAGGTAGTTGCAGTAGAAATTGCTCTTTTAAGAGTCGGTGAAGTGTTATTAATTTGAGTAACATTATTAGTTGAAAAATGAGGAGATCTCGAGACTTGAAGTTGTTGAGAAATTACATCAAAAGGGATCATAAAGCTTGAAGTTATCACAGCGCTTAAAGTTCCCAATAAGGCATTAATAGTTGAATGACTACGATTTTCTAGCCAACCTAACCCAACAGAACTACCTTTCCCTTTGTATACCATGTCTCTTAATGCATCGTAGGTAGAAAAATGAACCAAACGTCCACTAATACTGCCTAACCCGTAAACTCCTACACCTTTAAAGAAACCACGAACGCCTTCGGCTTTAATCCTTTCAGCAAAAACTTTTCCCATCGTTGTAGCAGAAGACGTTCCTATATTAGATTGCTGAATTGTCTTAATAGTTCTTATAGGATAAAAGACATATATTGGGATAAGATTTATGAAAAAGCCATATAAATAATAACGTTTAAAATCTATAGTTTGATCTCGTTTTAGACGGGGATCCATCTCGGTAAAGTTGAAATAAAAGTGCTAAAATCCCTTGTTCACTCCCAAACCGTAGAGAGAAGCAAAACTCTCCCGGGATATAAAGGCAAGATAAGAATTGTGTATATTACGTCATGAGTACTCTTATGTTAGCGTTAGGCAAAAATCGGATCTGGAACAGCATGGTAGAAAATCCAGCATAGCGAGCTTTAAATTCCGATTGGTCAACCACTGAAATGTATTAGTTATTCAGTACTGTATCTTTGCAGAGTTTAGTCAAATAAGTTAACATATGGGGCGTCGTCAGTCAAAACGTAGCTGTTACACAAAATGATAAGATAACGTTAGGGTGTTATCAATCAATATTTTATTTATTTTATCGGCTATATTAAGTAGGTTGTTGCAAATAACATCATTTTGTGTATCAATTTTCGGAAAATGATCAATTACTCAAAATTACTCAAACTAATAAAGCACAGCATAGCAGAAGTTCATTTTGATTGGTTGTTAAGGGTAGGGGGTACTATTTTAAAATTATATATAAACTTAATGGTAATTTTTTTTTATATTTAATTTTATAAAATATTATATTAAGTAAACTAATTTTAATTCTTAAGAAAAGTTTGTAGAGCAGAGTTTTCCGATTCTAATAGTAGTAAAATCATCAAAAACTCAGTGAGATATAAATTTTTAAAGATTTAAGTATAAAAATTCATTAATAAAATTAACAAATAGACTAGCCAACCAAATTTGGCGGAGTTGTGTAAGCTCAGAAAATTTTGAGCCAATCCAGAAAATTTTCATAATATATATAAGTATAATTTTTTTAAATAATATAATAGTTCAAAATTTTAATATAATAAATAAATTATTTTATTTATATAGTATTTTATAAAATTTTGGCTAAAATTAATTACAACTATAAAAAGTTTTATTAATAGCATATTATCAATTTCTATATAAATCTTATTGTACTACCAAAATCATATAACAAAATAATCTACATACTCTCTACCCTTAAAATATCCTAAAAAAAATCTCAATTATAAATAAATTACTAGCTTATAGTCTAATTTGGCTAATATAAATTAATTGTCTGGATTAGAGATGGAGATCGGTCATAAAATGATCGATTGCTCGGTCAAATTGATTGTAACCGAACTTGAAATTCTGCTCGAGCATGATCGATCATAGAATTTTGATCAATTATAGATTTTAATCGATTATAGAATTTTGATCAATCATAGAATTTTGATCAATCACAAGATTTTAATCGATTATTTTGATCACGATCGATGACATTTGTACGACAACATATATTGTTTCATGCAAGCAAAATAATGTATAACTCCATAAATATTGTCTTTGTATTATTTTCACTATTTTTCACTTTTCTTAAATCTGAGATATAAGAAGTACATTCACCCTAAAGAATTAAGTTCAATGAAATTTAATCGCAAAAACTTATACAGTATATATTTATTTCCGTCCTTAGTATACTAAAATATCTTGAAATAATCATCAGTATTTGCTATATACATTGTACATACATACTTACATGTTATGCATATCGAATATTTGAATAGTTTGGCTGACTTCGCTATATGTAGTGCAAAGCCCAATTTATCAAGAAAGCATTTATTAGCTTATTTAGTAAGGTAAAACACAATTTAAAATTTTGGAACTAGTTTTATTTTTTTAAATTGGTTAAAAAAGTTATGTTTTATCATAAAATTTATTTCACCACTATACATTTTCTATTCACGCACCGTAAATATAATATCCAAACTGACAATTAGTTAGCATGAAAGGGAAAATAAAAAAAAGGTTAGTTTAAACTAATATTTTTATTGTTAATTTTCATTTATTTTATTAAAAATATTATTAATTTATTTAGAACATTTAGAATATGGATAGTCTGTCAGTAGCAGTAAGTTCAGAAATATGTGAACAAGAAGTGGATTGTATAGAAATACCAAAAAGATATTAGCAGAGCAATGAACTTGATAAATATATGCCGCAAAACTCACAAGATAATTACCAGGGTTATGAGCCTGATGAATACGGATCAGAATTCAACTCGGAGGAAGAAGTACCTACTAGTTCTAACTATTACTCAGAATCATCGATCAGTAAGCAAGAAAAATATTCAAATAATAAAAAAAAAAAAAGCAGCAGCACTACTTTCAATTTCATATTCTCAGTTACGAAAACAGCCTCCTGACCCTTTTCGTAATTGTGATTTAAAAGCAGTATCGGAAACAAGAAATGCATTCGATTTAATGTATACACATAAAAAATAAAGTATAAGGATTTCTGAATATGACAAAACTGATTCGTTTTATTCACACGAACGAGTTTTATCTAAGCATCAAAAAACTAATGTGCAAGATGAATTAGTTGAACAATCAAGCGATACTTCTAAAAGTTCAAAAGTATCTAAATTTGATGGATCTTTACTTCATAGCCCTGCTTGGAAGTGGTTTGAAAAGATATATCTTGATAAAGTTTGGCATAGTCGGTGTAATATCGAAATGGCAGAAAAAAAGCTCTGTGATGCTAAAGTAAAAACTGGTGATTCTACAACAGCACTATAGAAACACTTTAAAATTATACATAGATACTCAAAAATGACTGCGCAACAAGGAAGTTTTTTTTAAATTAGTGCAATCAAAATCTTACTAGTTATATAAAGCTTAATTTTTTTTTTTTAATTGACCAAAAAACAGACAACTATTACAAGATCATTTAAAACTTTTTTATCAAAGCCACATAGCATTACTGAACAGGCTATTTATGATAGGGCTATAACTGAAGTCGTTATTTCCCAAACTCTTTCATTTACATTTACAGAAGATAAAATGTTTAAGCGATTTGCGAAAATTGTGGATTCACGTTGGGCTGTACCAAGTAGAGAAAAGGTTAAGAGTTTGATTGATAAGAGATTTGAACAAATCTGTTCTCACCTGTGGGATGACTTAAACAAAGCTAAAACTGTGTTGTTAACTGTGGATCTATAGACAGTGCATCCGTGTAATAGTTATATAGACATAATAGTAACATGGATTGATGAAATATTTGAATTAAATAAAGCCGTTTTAGCAATTACTTCTCTTAAATACCTGCATACCACTAATGCAATCATAAAATACATTGAAGATGTTCTTGAACATTGGAACCTAAAGAATAAGGTTTACTCAATTACAACTAATAGCAAGGCAAATGTCAAATCGGCATGTAATAAACTTGGTATTAAGTAGATTCCATGTTCTGCGCATATATTGAATCTGATTATGCAAAAGGGGCTTTTGCCTACCAAACACTTAATTACTTGGATGAAACGTTTGATCAAATTTTTTACCATGCCTAAACAAAGCGAATGGCTTGAGACAGTACAAGTATCAATTTAAGCACAATATCAATTGAACAGAGAAAAGGTGAGAGTCCAAATGGTCTAACGAATTTTATTAAATTTTTGTATCTAAACTAAAAAAAAAAAATTATATTTTTAATAATAATTTCAATTTATATACAGAGTGAAAATAATACTCTAGTACAGGCACAAAATAATATTGTGATCTATTGGAACTCTACCTACAATGCATGGGTCCGAATGCTTAAGCTTAAGCTTTACATTGAGATACTTGCAAGTTCGCTTACTATCTAGCAAGAGAAAGATGCAATTGCAGATAGAAAACGTCTAAAAGCAATTATGATAACCGAGGATGAATGGACCGCAGTTGCTAATATTATTAACATTTTAAAACCTTTTAATAATATAACAAATTACATTTCAGGCAATACATACCCTACTATGAGCATTATTTATCTGACAATAAGCATCTTTCGGAATGCTTTACTAAAAGAATTTAAAGATGAGAATGATTCTACAGACAAACTAACAGATTTTAATAGTTTAATAAATGATCATATTAATATATTTAATGATGAGAAAATATTGGATGAGGATGAAGATGCAGAAAAATTCGAGTCTCTAGCTATTACAACTGATCTGGTCAAAAGCATTAAAAAAATAATGTTAAAGTTATTTGAAAAATATTATAAGGTGAAGTTTTCAGCTCATATTATTATAGCTAATTTGAAAATTAGTAGTACACTTGATGAGTTTTGTAATAATTGTTAGAAGAAGCCAACTGCTACCAAAACATTATTAACGAAAAAAACAACACTGATCTTCTAACAAAAAATGAAAAAGCTAAACTTTGTTTCAACCAAGCCAGATTAGATGAGTTATGAGAAAAGGCTAATAAAAAAACCTTGATTTTAGAATACAAAAGCTTTAGAGATCATTATAAAATTTATTACGTGCTCTACTAATTTTCAAATTAGCTATAATTGAGAATTCTCCAATTGACCAGTCATTTTGATGATTGGTCTGAGAATTCTCAAATTCCCAAACCGAAATTTTTTTAGACTAGTTTTTATTTTTTAATTTTATTTTTTATTGTTTTTTTAATTTTGAGACTAATGCTTGAAAATTGTTTTTTTTCCTTCTGAACAGTTTTCTGATGACAAAATATTATTTATTGCAACAGCAATTGATCCAAGGTGTAAAAATTTTGATTACGAGGATGCTTCGTTAGTATGCCAAGATTATTTCAAGTTGGAATATGACCAAATGATAAGTGACAAAGATTTAGAATCATCATCGAATGAAGTAATGCTTAATCTATCTAAATCATTTATATCAACAGTTTTTATAGCAGTTCAAAAAAATTCGATAAACAAAAATGAGGTTAATCAATATCTTATAATGGAAATGATTGGGCCTTTAGATAATCCTTTATAGTGGTGGGCAGCTTACAAAAATACTCTTCCGAAATTGGCAGGTTTTGCTCACAAATACCTTGCAATTCTGGCTACTTCCATCCCTTGCAAACACCTCTTTTCACAATGTAGAAACATAATGACTAAAAAAAGAACCCGATTAGCACCACAAACATTCAGTAAATTGGTTTTCTGTCATGCAAACCAAGGAAGGTACGACACAATATTTCCAAATATTATGGACTATTTATAAGGTAATTCGACTATTTATCTTATAATTTTAATATTATTTTATATCCACCTTAATACAAGTAAATTTAACAGTATTCAGACAATAATTTAGAAAGAAAATATATAACATATAGTATTATTATATATATATATATATAATTTTTTACGAACATGTCATGACTATTAGATCCCAATCATAGATAGAGCAGCATGTATAATAAATCTGGAATTATGTCATCTATATAAATTTGAAAAAAAAATCTACTTTAGTTTGTTAAGTAAAACTCCTTGATTTAATACGTAGAATATTCCGGACTAAATAGTTATACTGTATATCAAATATATCTAATAAATATCCGGAGGCTCTAATATGTAATGTCTTCCTATAATGTCTTAAATTACTAGTTTTACTATTATTTAAACCCATTAAGCCTTATCCCTTAAATTGTTTTGCAGCCAAATTTGCTTGCAAACTTTTTTAAATTTTAAAATTTTTTAATAAAATTTTAAA